CTTCGTGAATCGTGATGATGCCCGGTTTACGATTATAGGAGGAAAAAAAAACACGTCCAACAGGTTGTTTATCTCGTTTTCTTTTTCTCTCTCTCTCTGTTCCGGTGTTTTTGGTCGACATCTTTTGCGACTCGTGATAGTATTTGATGCCACTCGTGATGCCCGTCCGCTCGAACTCCACCGTCAAGTGACCCACACGTCCCACTCTCTCTGGCTTTCTGCCACTCGCCGGTCGCCAGTCGGCACTCGGCAGTCGCCGGCCGCCTAGCAGTTGAAGCGGTTGCACAGGGTCTGCGTCTATTTCAAGAACGAGCGAGGTACCAGGTGTTGGCCGGTGAGAACTTGTTTTTTTGAAGAAAAATAAGAAAACAAATTTTGCATAACAAACTATGTCTATCAATTAAAAAAATAGTTTTTATGTGTATTGATAAGTATAGAAACTGTGTCGTAATTTTTTGGTTGGGCTGTCCCCGCGCCACTGGATGCTGACGGCCCGTTTGACCTTGCCGACTTTGCCTTCAATACTGAGGTCAGATTTTTACGTCGCTGTTCCTGCGTCGAACTTGTCCTCGCACTTCGGCAACGGCCGGCCGCCCGGGAGCCGCCGCAAAGCGGCATGCATGCGCTCGGGCCCGCGTGCCGCGCGTCGTCCGCTCCCACGGCCTGCGCCTGCGCCTCCGACCGCGGCGCCGGCTCGATCCGCGTCGGCTCCGATCCTTCTTCTCCAGGCTCCACACGTCGCGCTGACGGCAGTCCAGGGTGCCCGAGGCGAGACGTGGCCACGCTGACGGGCCGCAACGTGCATGGACGCCTGTGGTGCGGACGATATGGCCGACCTGCGGCTGCCGCCTGCCGGTGCCGGCCCCGTGACGCACCGCCGCCAGGCCTATCTCCAGTTTTTTTATTTGCAACAAGTTACGGCAGATGCGATGCCTTGAGTATTCGCGCAGAGAAGCCCCTGGACTCTGGTGTGTGGCGTCTGGGTCTGGCTGAAATTTCACTTGAGAGCCCCGACAAAATAACGTGTCTGGTGCACCCCGAATACGCGATCCACATCGTCGCAAAAAAAAAAAAGCGATCCACATCCCCCGCGATGTGACGAAGGCCCGCATCAGAAGATCTGGGAGGGAGGTGAAGCACGAGAACATTTTTATTTAATTAATTTTGCTGTTTGGATGAATTTAACGATCGAGATCTTAGGGTTAGTGAAAAGGGATCGGACGACGGTGCTTTCGTTGAATTGTTCTAAAAAGTCTGACGTTACTGTAAGAAAGATTATTTCGGACATGTCGAACATCACTTTAGTTGACTTTCTTTTACGACTTTACGAGCTTTAAAAAAGACAGTGATGATTACGAAATGCCTGAATAAATAATACGGACCTGTTCGCTTGACTTAGGGTAAAGTATTTTTCTCTTACAACAAATCAACAAACAATACTTTTCAACCTAGCTTTTTAGCGAAGCGAACATGACCTCATATATAATCAGTGACGGAGGTAGAGCAAATTCAAGGAGAGTGCGTAGATTTTTATCGTAAGGGGGCGCACCCAAGTTTACTATATTGATCGGCCCATGTATATAATCTAGAGCAGCGTTAGCGTCCAGTTCATGACGGCCCTGCACCGCTGCACGTAAACATGAAGTCATGAACACGACGTACCCTGCTCTAGTTTCACAATTTTCCATAGTATGCTGCAATTCAGTTCATCGATTTAACACCCTGCTCGCTTGATCGTTTCTGTGACTTATAAGCCGACTGATACTATTTTGTTGTGAAAAAAAATACTGTATCATGATTTATACGATCGAGCTAACATGGTGTTAGTCACTGGGAGTTCATCCGTCTCTTTTTTTTTTTGTTTCCTTGGTGATGGAGTACTGCTACTCCGCACCAACTTGTACTTGCCGTGTTCAATCCTTTGTTCCCTTTGCTAAGTTTAGGGAAACGTGAAAAGACACTGCTCCGTGATCATGAGCGAGTGCCCCGCTTTCGTATCGTCTCATTTTCTCCACTTGATTGACCAACGTTGGCCTCATACTGCATACTTTATAGGAGTATATATTTCCTGTAGTGTACTAGCCTAATACAATAGCATGTTGAATTTGATTGTGCCACTCACAAAGCCGCTTTGCTTTTATATAGCAGAAGAAAAAGAAAAGTACTTGTGTGTATCTGGACAATCAGTGAGAGCTCTCTTCCAGAAAGATATTTTCGACATAGATTTTTAGTGGTATCTCCACGTAAGAGATCAGTAGATTAATTAACTCTTTTTTTTATAGAACGTGATTACGCACCGCGACCAGGTATGGTCGGTCCCTAAGCAAAAACGATCCACACCACACGAGTTTGTTCCATTCTTCTCGTCTCGAAAGGCAAATCGGGGATTCCGATCCGTTATGCCGTACGGGTAGCATTCAGCACCGGATTCCAGTCTAGTCTACGCGCCTGTCCCTGTCCGGCGTCCCCTCCCCCAAAATCACCTGCACGTTTCGTTCGGTTCCGTTATGTCTTTCGGTGACTTTGGCCGGACACATCCGCTCCTCCGCCCATCCGTCTTCTGCTTCTGCCCACAAAAATCCACCCGAACTCGTTGGAGTCTGAGGGCTCGTTTAAATCCAGGACGTAAGGTTCAGGTGTCACGTTAGGTGTTACGGAGAATGTATCACGGGGTTTTGGATGCTAATAAAAAAATAAATTATAGAATCCGTCAGTAATCCGCGAGACAAATTTATTAAACCTAATTAATCCGTCATTAACACATATGTACTGTAGTACTGTGTTGTCAAATCATGAACTAACTAGGCTTAAAAGATTCGTCTCACAAATTAGTCATAAAATATGCCATTAGTTATTTTTTAGTCTATATTTAATACTTCGTGCACGTGCCTAAAGGTTTGAGTTCTGACGCGAAGACCAGAACTGGCGTAAAAAAAAGAGAAGACGCCCGCCCCAACTCTTGAATTGGCACCGCCACCTAATGGGCTACTAGTACCATCTGTGTTGGCCATGCGGCCGAGCCGTCGGCCCACCCCCAAGCACGGCCCGGCAAGACGAGGCTACTGACCTGCTGGCCCGGAGGAGAGGAGCCGCGTGCTGGGCCTTACCCCAGAACATGGGCCGGCAAGACGCAGACGGCTCACACATGAGCAGCCAACCCGCTAGCGGTCCGGCCCTGGCACTGCCGCCTCCCCGCCCCATATATATAAGCGAGGCGCCTCATGCCCGTTGCCATAGCGCTGCGCTCGCCTCTCTCTCCGCCCCGCGCCTCGCATGACCTCCCCTCTCTCGCTCACTTCACGCCCTCGGGCCCTTGGCCACGCACCGTGCCCCTCCTCCCTCCTCGCGACCTCCCTCTCCCACTCCCTCCTCCATGGCTCCATCTCTCCAGATAGTGGCGGCGGCAAGGGCGGCCCCCTCCCCTCCTCTTCCTCCCTCTCCCTCGATCCGTGAGCGGCCAGCGACGGTGGCACCCTCTTCCTCGATCCGCAAGAGCCAAGCCGACAGGCGGCGCCTCCCGCCAGACTCGCACTCCACCCCCCCGATTCCCCGAACCCTAACTCCCTTCCCGGCTTCCTCTCCCCCTCTCCGTCGCCCCGCGCAGTCCCCTCCCCACGCACGCGGCCGGATCCTCCTCGGTGGCGTCCACCACCACCACCTCCCTGGCTGGCCCCTCTCCTCTCCTCCCACACGCACGGTGTGCGCCACCGCCTCTCAATGGATCCGCCTGGGGCAGGCATGCCGACGCACCACCGCCACCTCCCATGGCTACCCCTCGTCGTCCCATCTCTTCCTCCCTCCCTCAACTCAGATCCGGCTGCCCCATGCGGATCTCTCTCCCTCTCCTCCCCTCCCTCCTCACCAGATCCGGTGGCCTCCTCTCTCCCTCATCCTCGGTGCACCACTGCGCCCTCCCTCCCTCCCCCCCCCCTCCATCCCTCCCTCCCCCTGTGGATCCCCCCTCTCCTCTCTCCCTCCCTCCCTCACTCAGATCCGGGTGGCGGTGGCCTCCTCTCCTCATCCTCCTCGGTGCACGGCGGGCTCCTCCCACCCCTCTTTCATCTCCTCTCCATCGCTTGAGGGAGGCGCCACTCAAGCCTCCTTCCCCGAGATCCGAGCTCCGCCTCCCAACCCCCGCGCCACCTCCTCCTCCTCCTCCCAGCTCAGCAAGGCACAAGACGTGTGCGGTCTCGAGAGCACGCCGACAGCCGCTCTCCTCCCCAAGGCCCGCGCGCGGTGGCTAGCCTCAGTGGGCCTCGGGCTGGCACGGCCTGTGAAAAAATGGCCGTGCTTCTCGGGCCGGCCCGACACGAAAATCGCCCATAGGGCCGTGCCTGGGCCGAAGGCCAGGCCCGTGGCCCTGTGAGGCACGGCGTGCCGTGCCGGCCCGTTGGCTATCGGGCCGTGTTGGCACGGGCCCATGCCGTGTCGGCCCGTTGGCCATCTATAATTACCAGTAGCGGTAGTGCAGTACCCCATTCATACCACTTTCTTCTTCTCTTCCAGAAGCGCAGCCCTCCACCCTCCTGGGGCGCCAGTGCGTGCGCCGTCGACTTCGTCGCACCTTCTCCGCTCGTCGAGAACGACTCCACAGCGCACCAGCGCGGCGACAGCCCGCCAAGGGGGGAAAAAAAGTACTAGAAGAGAGGAGGAGCAGGGAGAGCGATACTAACCGGTTGGATTCGGTCCAATCCAGCCGGCGCGCCGCCTCGTCGCTCCCGCGCGCGGCCGCGGCGGAAGCGACCAGCCGATCCCGAGGGCGCCGAATTGATCTGCGGGTGCGCGCGGGCCGATGAGGAGGGGTGCCGCCGGGGATCCCGGTCGCCGCGGGGGATGCGCATGAGGAGGGCGTCCGGCCCGCGAATCTTCTGGATTGGCCGGCGGAACCCAGGGGCGCGCGGCGCTGGCAGGATCGCGTCGGTGGGGCTGCGGCAGTGACCGCGGACGGGACGCGGGTGGAGTGAGAAGCGGCAAGTAGCATTTCGAGGCGAGCGGGCGCGATGGTGAGCGGCCACATCTTCCACTGCCGGAAGAACTCGTGGCCGGCGGAGGAGTACGTCGGCCGGACCGCGCTGCAGCTGGTGAGCCAGCCCACTTTTGGCTCCTGCGTCTGCGTCGCTCGCTCGCGAATTCGTTTTGTTTCTCGTTTTCCTTCAGTTTGTTTGCTGATGGTCTGATGTGACGCTTCGGGCGTTGGGAACTTACGTCGCTGCAGCTGGATTTCGATGGCGGGGCGCCGCCGGAGCAGGCTTGGCGGAGGCGGCTCAACAGCCACGCTAACATTCTCAAGGAGTTCAGTGTCACCTTCATGGAGGCAATGAGGATGGTATGGACGCATCACGGATTCGGCCCTCTGTGTTGGGTGTTTTATACGACGTGTGCTTTCTGTTCCTCTAGTTCAAAGTTGTTGGTGCTACCTGCTAAGTTCTGCTCCCGCAATTTCAGATGAGCCTTGGCCTGAGACTCTGGTCGTATGTTCGGGAGGAGGCGTCACATGGACGGGTGACATCAGCTGCTTCTATGCATGATTTCGTCAAAACACGAATGGATCCAAAAACTGTGCTAACAGGATGTGATCTGTTGTTGTGCTTGCAGAAAGCTCCGATCGATCCATTCACAAAAGAGCGCTGTAAACCGTCAGCTTCCCAGGGTGTGCCACTTGGTGGGATGGGGTGTGTGCTAGGGCCATTGCTTATCTGAACTTCATATATCGATGCATTCTGGAGAACTTTGCCTTGATATCAGCATATTGGTTTTGCAGGAGCGGTAGCATTTCTAGAGGTTTCAGGGGAGAGTTCAAGAATTGGCACATCATACCTGGTCTGTGTGAGAGTTCGCCAGTCATGGAGAACCAGTTCTCTGTAATGCTTCTATCTTATCTTGCCGTTGCTTGCTATTAGACTTCGGATTGCTGTATGATATATGTGTGCTATGGTTTCTGTACTCTTGAATCTGGATGTGTATGAAGATATGTCCTTTTGAGTACCATAGATGCTCAAAGTATCACTTAAACAAACACATTTTAAGTTCCGCTTGCTAATGGCTTATCATATTTTAAAAGTATGTGAGCACTGCATCTTTTTGGGAGCGAGATAAGATGATATTTCTTTGCTAAGCTGGCATAACACTGCCTTTTCCTCTTTTTTTCCCGCGAACATGCAACTCGCATGTGTTTCATTAAGAGGGTAGCAAAGTTTACATGGAATTGCCTAAGGACGAGCGAGGTGCCCACTGCCCATGATTAGACAATACCGCACAAGAGGAGTACACAGACTTGTTAATTTTCGTTTAGTCTACATTGCCGCAACACTGCCTTTTCTCAATGGTTGCACCAAGGTTATGATGTCTGGGAAGGTTGCTTAATCAACTAATCTTCACAGTTGGCACTTGATGGTGGGCTGGTGACACTTTCTTTTTTCACTGATATATGAACTATGGTTGCTGGGGGCATTTTTTGTCTAGCTATACTTCTTGACCTTTTGCTATGTATACCTTCGATAATGCATTTCATTTATTTAGTAGGTATAGTAACTTTAGGTCGTGCTCCTTTCATGTACCTACCTTCATCCTTTGATAATGCATTTCGTTTCTTTAGTAGGCACAATACTTTCGACGTATAAATTCTAATGTCTCTACACACTTAATTAAGATCTCATGATTGATTGTGCTATATTTCAGGCAGATTACAATTACAATTTTACACCTAGTGCTGCAAAAATTTTCAGTATTTTGGCCTTAGTGTCACTATAAGTATTAATTTTTCACATTAAGGCTCAATGCATGAACTGTTAAATATACTGCTTTTCCAGATATTTGTATCTCGAGATGGGGGGAATAAGAAATACTCATCAGTTTTGGCTCCTGGACATCATGAAGGTCTGAAGTAAGTCACCATCCTGTTCTGTGTGCTTAAAGCTTGCCATCTTATGAGCAGATTATCATGTTAAAGTCATGCACAGAAACATTTGCCCAACTATAATCTACCGTTTACTTTATGTCCTTGTGCCTATCCTTCCCAATTTGCCTGTTTCTCTTTTTCCATATTCCATATTTACCTCTTGAAATCTATATAAACCGAACAACTTTCATCCTGTACCCATAAATTGTGTTATGGTTATGCCAACTTGGCGATTGAAGGTCAATATAGATATTGATAATAATGGTATTTAGTTTTGGTTCAAGTAAGGTACTGTATTGGTGCAACAAGGCATGCTGATCAGATTAACAACTTGGTCAGATTTTGTGCTTTTCATGCTATCTCTTCCGTAGAAGTACCTTAATTGATGTTTTATGTGTTTTTCAGGAAAAATAGTGACTCTGGAATTTCGTCATGGGACTGGAATTTGAGTGGTCAACACTCGACCTATCATGCATTGTTCCCTCGGGCATGGACTGTTTATGATGGTATGCCATTGTAGATCTATGGTAACAGTACTTAAATTTGCAACCTACACAAGGATTTTTTTATTTTTTATTTAGATTGTGCCTACCAAGAGACACTGTTGTTTTTAATAGGGCACTGTAATTCAATAAGGTGGCTGTGTGTTGATAGCACAGTGATTTCGACCCTTAAGTTTTTTCCTCTTAATTTGTTGCAGGTGAACCAGATCCAGACCTTAAAATCTCATGTCGTCAAATATCACCTTTCATTCCTCATGATTACAAAGATAGCAGCCTTCCGACATCTGTGTTTGTGTATACTGTAAGTGGCTAATGGAGTTCCTTTTATGCTAAGCTGAAAATTGTTGCAGGTCTACATTATGTACCTTCCTGTTTCCTATTTCCTAGCAAGACGCTTTGAAAAGCCTACTGTGCCATCTTTATGCAAGATATTTCCTTTAAAATGGAGATCACATATGGCCAGTCAGCAAGCCGCTGAAATATCATCTTAGTGTAAAATCTATTTGAATATTTTAGAACTAGTGAAATATGAAATAATTGCCGTCATACATAAAATTTTGAGATGCCAATTGTTCACGAATAAATGAATAGTTCAATGATAGTATATCTGCCGATTGAATTTTGCTGTTTATTTTAGATGCTTTTGATATTAAAATATCCTTCTGTTCAAGTAAGTTACCTGACAGCCTTTCTATTTGGTTGTTCATTACAGCTAGTAAACACTGGGAGAGACCGTGCAAAAGTAAGCCTGTTGATGACATGGGCGGTAAGTACAAATCTAAAAGTTTATTTTTAATTTGTGCAGTGTATTTATGTTTTTTTTTTAATTTTGTGCACTATCTGATGCAAAATTTGTGTTAAGCTGTTTCGGTTTTATTACCATGATGAAGTGCTTAGGGTATATCCATTTACCCAGTGTTAAAATCTCAGCTCATCGATGATTATCACCCTTATGATCCGTTCTAAAGTTTGAGGTCCATTATTGCCATTGATTTATGCTCAATTCAGAATATCCTATGTTGCAAAAAGATATTAGATACCACCCTTTGTCCCAAATTATAGGTTGTTTTGGCTTTTCTAGGTGCATAGCTTTTGCTATGAACCTAGATAGGCGATATGTCTAGATACATAATAAAAGTTGTGTATCTAGAAATGCCAAAACGACCTATAAATTGGAATGGAGGGAGTACTATCTAGGTTTGAAGTATTACAGAAGTCAAATCCCACTGTGCATTAAACTATTATTATTCACTCAAAGTGTCCTTTAGTGATATTTTCTTAATGACAGAATTCTATTGGAGGTTTTTCGCATAATTCAGGAGGCCACTACAATGAGCCCTTCATGTAAGTAGATCAGTAGATATAACCTATACTTGTTCAGTTCTTTTTTGGGGTTGTTTTTACTCATAGTTTGATCTTCTAATATGGGCAGTGCGGAAGATGGAGTATCAGGAGTGCTTCTGCATCACAAGCAAGTTTTGATTGTCTCTTCTTCGAGTTGATGATTACGAATTAGTGAATCTTTTTTATGATATGTTATAGAGGCTGACAAGCTGTTATATTTTTTCAGAACAGCTAAGGATAATCCACCTGTCACTTTTGCTGTTGCTGCCTGCGAAACTCAGAATGTGAATGTGACAGTCTTGCCAGTGTTTGGCCTTTCTGGACAAAACCATGTTTCCGCAAAGGAAATGTGGAACATCATGCTACAGGTAATTACTTGTACCTTGTCTGAACATTTGGTTTATATGATTTTTCATACAGGCTGTTCTATGACATTCTCTTAAGTATAACAGTCCTATCTTTCTTATCATGCTCGCATTTTGCTTCTTTAATTGTTTTATTTAACATTCAGAATGGTCACTTCGATCGGGAAAATTTCAGTGCTGGTTCCAGTATGCCTTCTTCTCCAGGACAGAAACTCTGTGCAGCTGTCTCAGCCTCAACTTGGGTAGAGCCACATGGTAGATGTACTGTTGTGTTTGCTCTGGCTTGGTCCTCACCTAAAGTAAAGTTTCAAAAGGGATGCACATATAACAGGTTAGTGTCCCCTTGTTGTCAATATAGACGACACCTTTTGATTCTGTTTACATCTTTATTTATTGATACAAGACTTGTTCCGATGCAAATCCAACTTATAAAATACTATGTCTCATAGGAGCAATGATGTGTGTCTCAATTTAGTTGCCTATCACATTACACACGACTTAGGCACACTTAAGTACTGATCATATCAGAATGTCCCCAGTACAATAGTTTCTTTTTTGTTTCAGCCTTCTCTGGGTTTGCACAATTGAATATTTGGTGTTCATAAGTTCTTGAGAAGTTGTAATTAGTTACGTTAATGTGAATTGTAGTGCATTCTAAGTGTAATGGGATAATTCATAAATGTGATTTCATGTTGCAGGAGGTACACCCAATTCTATGGAACTTCTGAGAAATCGGCTGTTAACTTGGTACATGATGCCTTAACAAGTATGTTTTTCTTTTGTCAATTTCTTGACTTCTTAATCTGTTATTTTTTAGGTAAATGCACTAGAGGAGAGCCCTACTGTGATGTGATAACTATATATATAAATGAAAAGATTCAAAACAAGCTGTGAAGCCTAAAAGAAAACGGAATGCTAAAAGTGATAAGGAAACAGTACAACCTATTTAACTTGGTGCAGAAACTAATTCTTAGAGTTACAATATTTGCTAGGACTATAAAAAACACTTCCACATGTTATAATAATCATCTTTTAGATTGGATGGAGTATTTTCCCTCCAAATACAGTCATATGTTGAAAACAAGATTGTAGTGATATTACTGGGAAATGTGCAACATTGGCCCTTGAGTTGCTGATTTAATGTATTTATCAGTCTTCTACATTCTGACCTATGCTCCTGGATTCTTTTTCCTTGTTTTCAGAATATAAACTTTGGGAAGAAGAAATCGAGAAGTGGCAAAACCCCATACTCAAGGATGAAAGACTTCCAGAATGGTATATACTCTACCTCTTGCTTCTATATTAAATTTGTTGTTGCCCCTGAAATTTACTAGTCCACACCTTCCTCTACCTTCCTCTGTAGAGAAGAAAATGAAATTTAACTGTAGAATGTTTGGGTGTCAAAATGCTTGCAGGTATAAGTTCACTCTTTTTAATGAGCTTTACTTTCTGGTAGCTGGTGGGACCGTTTGGACAGGTACACTGTAACTTTCTTATGGTTGCTTGTTCAGATCACCACTTGTCTCATTACTTTTGAATGTCACGGAGATAGTTTCTTCTTTTGGTATAATTACTTTTGTTCTACAATCTAAAGTTGCCATCATCTGAGTTTCTTTTAGCTTATAATGTCTACTCCTTTTCCTTTTGAGTGCAAGGAACCTTATATTTTTCCTTCTGATCATGTAGATGGTCAACCCCCAGCAATCGATGAGAAAAACAGTCCTGGTTCTAATCAGCAGAAGTCCTCAAAGAGGGGTACTAAAGACACCAAGCAGGGATCTGTTAAAGATAGCCATGTCAACCTGACAGTGGAGCAAGTACTTCATGGTGGTTACATGACTAATGGTGATGATCACAGTGTATCAAAGTTCGCAGCAGTTCATGGGTCACAAATGCAAAAACAAATCAATGGACTCAAGTCAGAAGAGCCAATTCCTTACTTGATTTCAAAGGATGGCCCTGAACATGTTGGCAAGTTTTTGTATCTAGAAGGAGTGGAATACATCATGTGGAACACATATGATGTGCATTTCTATGCATCTTTTGCTCTCCTTGATTTGTTCCCAAAAATAGAGTTGAGTGTCCAACGTGATTTTGCCAATGCTGTGCTGTATGAAGATCGACGCAAAGTAAAATTTTTGGCTGATGGTACATCAGGAATCCGCAAGGTTAAAGGTGCTGTGCCTCATGATCTTGGAACACATGATCCGTGGCATGAAATGAACGCATATAACATACACGATACAAGCAAATGGAAAGATTTAAACCCCAAATTTGTGCTCCAGATATACAGAGACTTTGTTGCTACAGGTGATATGCAATTCGGTCGAGATGTTTGGCCTGCAGTCTGTGCTGCTATGGACTATATGGATCAGTTTGACCGTGATGGTGATGGTCTCATTGAGAATGATGGATTTCCTGATCAAACCTATGATGCTTGGACTGTTCATGGAATCAGTGCTTACTGTGGTTGTCTATGGCTTGCTGCACTTCAAGCTGCAGCTACAATGGCTCATCGTCTTGGGGATCGGCACTTTGCTGAGAAGTACAAGCTCAAGTTCATAAAAGCCAAAGCAGTATATGAGGCAAAGTTATGGAATGGGTCATATTTCAATTACGATAGCGGCACAAGTAGCAACAGTAGATCCATTCAGGCTGATCAACTGGCAGGACAGTGGTATACTGCCTCGTCAGGCTTGCCCCCGCTTTTCGACGAGCACAAGATAAGAACTGCTCTGCAGAAAATATTTGAATTCAATGTGATGAAGGTTAAAGGAGGACGGATGGGATCTGTAAATGGTATGACTCCAAAGGGAAAGGTGGACGAGACATGCATGCAATCTCGAGAAATCTGGACTGGTGTTACATATGCTGTTGCTGCAAATATGCTGCTCCATGGAATGGAGCATCAAGGCTTTACAACCGCAGAAGGAATTTTTATTGCCGGATGGTCAGAAGAAGGATATGGGTATGCCCTGTCTCATACATTGTCGAGCAATTTCAGATTTTGCAGTGATGCAGCTTTTCACATTAACTTTGCAGTGCATTTCTTATCTCATATTAACTTAGCAGTGCATTTGTTATCTTTTGTTTTTGGTTGCTTCTGTTATATTCCATTAGAAACCTAGGAATCAGATGTTTCTAGTGCTGCTTATTGTATGTCATTCCCAAATCTGTCTAGGGCTGTATACTTTTACTTTTTTTCGAGTAACACATGCTAAATTGTCTCAAATCAAATGAAGTTTTGAGTAGTGTTTGTTGAGCCATATTCATCAATGAGATATTATAACATGGGTTTACCGTGGTGCTGCAGGTATTGGTTCCAAACACCAGAAGGATGGACCACAGATGGGCATTATAGATCCGTCGTATACATGCGGCCTCTTGCCATTTGGGCAATCCAATATGCAGTTTCTCCTCCAAAGGCCATTCTTGAGGCCCCCAAAGTTAACCTAATGGACCGAATACATATATCCCCTCACATGGCCCGAGCAATTAGCGAGATAAGCATTAGAAAGATAGCACCCGACAATAGATGTTTCCCTAGCTCTGCCTTTAATTGTGAATGCTGATCCAAAGGTAACATGCAGCTGCTGAGCAACTTACCAATCTTTTCGGCTTTTCGGTTTCACCTTGCCCTTTTCAAGGTCCAGTGGGGTTCAGGAGCTCTTCTCTTGAATCAGAGGGCATATCCAAACCACCACAAAACTCGCGACTCAAAAGAGTTCATGTTGTATAATTGTACAGCAAACTGTAATCACACAGTTTTTTTTTCACACAAAGTTCTGCGCTGCCAAAGTAACCACATTTCACATGAGAGCTAGAAATCAAAGAACTGGATGCTGGTGTCTCATACACCATTCACTTCAGAAAATCTTCCTACTGCTCGTTTTGGATCTGCATCTAACGTTTTATGAAGTCATTTGGATATGGCTCATTTGTCTTTCTATTGGCTGCTGAGTATACGTTCTGCACGTCGATGTATCATTCTTCACTATAGGATCATGGATTGTTGCTTTTCTGGTAGTCTAAAGTTCAAAAAAAAAAAAAAAACTGGTAGCCTAGAGCCTCATCTAATCATTTTAGGTTCACTCATTTCTTCGTTCTTTAAAAAGCTACCGAACTCAACATATGGTTGGTTCTGAAAGTCGTTTGTTCCTCCCCCATGTTAAGCGCGTGTTTAGTTCCACCCAAAATCTCAAAAAGTGCTACAGTACCTATCACATCGAATGTTTGCAGCCTGTGCATGGAGTATTAAATGTAGACGAAAAAAAATTAATTGCACAGTTTGGTGAGAAATTGCGAGACGAACGTTTTGAGCCTAATTAGTCCATGTTTGAACACTAATTGCCAAATAAAAACGAAGGTGCTACAGTAGCTCTAAATTTCAACTTCCTAGAACTAAACAAGGGCTAAATATGATACCCCATGTTAAATATGATATTTGATTTCCGTATCTTTGCAAGCCTCTTCAACTAGCTGATCTTTACCAGTGGGGTGGTTCTGCTGCAAGAAACCTAACTAAAGTTATGTTAGGAAAATGCACTAAAATCTGCTCCCTCCGTTTCAATTTATCTAGATGTATAGTAAAAGTTATGTATATAGAAAAACTAAAATGATAGAAAAACTAAAATAACTTATAATTTAGGATAGAGTCAGTACAATATTATATGGTTTTATATTAAAGCCATCATGAAATATATTCATGATCTTGATACTGCATTTATTTAGTTATATAGGTATAGGTATTAATATATTTTCTATAAGCTTAAAAGTTTGACTTGAAGTAAAACTGAAACGATGTGCACCAGCGGCTGATCTGGTGACCATCACTGCGCATGTAGAATTTATTCCAATGGCTACCTGCTCTTCTAGGCATATTTATTATGTAGTTGGAACAATAATTTTGTGTGCATCTCTTTGGTTTTTGGCTTGGGATTAGTTAAAGTAAGAGATAGGGTTTATTGCTTTTGGTGTTTGCGAGCAACTAGTTGGTCCTGTCCGGTAGTGATCTTTCACTGAAGGAGTTTTGTTGTTGGACGCTTGAAGTTGATTTATGTTTGGTTTGTGAGACTGTCGATGCAGGACCCACAGGATACCCCGCAAGGGAGAGAGAAGATCTAGTTCAACTAGAATTCTTCCCATGTAATCTTAGTAATAGAACTATTAAGTAATCCTACTAGGAAATCTCATTGTAAACTGACTAGGACTCTGGCCTCCTGACTATATAAAGGAGGACAGGGCTCCTGAGAGAGGACGACAATTGTACAACATAACACTTCATAATCAATTCAACGCAAAGGCCAACGCCGACTGGACGTAGGGTCATTACTCGATCTACGATCGAGGGCCTGAACCAGGATAAATCGACTGCCTCTTGCGTTTACCATCGAGTTCAGCATACGCCGAAGCCCGAACATACTGCCCCGGGTACCTCCGTGGCAGGCTATCAGTAGTGAAACATCGACAGCTGGCGCGCCAGGTAGGGCTTTCGGCGACTTTGCATCCGAGAGCTCGATGGACCTCGATAACATGATCTTCCCAACGGGATTAACTTTCATCTTCGGCTCATGGATCTGCGAGGCGGACAACTACGGCAGGCTTCAAAGCCACCTCAAAGATCCGGATCATCATAAAGAATTTTCTATTTCGACAACTACGACGGATCAGCTCACCAGAAGATCTGCGCAGCTCATAATACCCGATTCGAAAAAGATTTCACGGCTACGCGCATCCGACTCGAATTCAAGCTCCGTGTCCGAGATGAAGTCTTATTCGAGTGCTTTCAAGAAACCGAGTTCTTTTTTGGCAGGATTCCAGAGCACAACCCAAAACAACTCGGATTATCCTCAGAGTTCTTTCAAAAGGTCGAGTTCTTTTCCATTTGGGCTCAACAACACGACAAAATCCTATCAGGGACAGTTCGAAAGGTCTTTCAATCCAATGCTTGGGATACCACCGATGGAGCTCGGGAGGGTCTCGTGCTAACGATAACATCGCAAGATCAGATCATCCATCGCCAAGTTCCGCTTCACGAAGATAGCGGAACCCAACTAGTTGGCACGACAACAAAAGCTATTCTACCTTATCAAGAAGGAGACTCGATCTGCGACATCGAGGCGCCCCACCAAGTCATCAACAACTCCGACAAGATGAAAACTAACACCAATAACGGAACGGCTCACGCATCGGGAGGTGCTCATGGTTCGACGCCCTCGGTCACCATTAAATCCCCGAAGCACCCGATGTCGTCATCGATGAATCGAGTCCAACATATCACCCTTTGCCCAGTGGCTACGATGGAGAAACCGAGAGTCGAGATAGGCTAGAGAAAGGAAAAACAAGTTAAAACAAGGGCGCCAACACCGCGCTTAGGCAAACAGAGAGAAGCTGGACCAGATACGAGTCGAGTTGGTGAATACGATAAAAGAAAATCACAACAAGAAACCAAGAAAGACGCTATGAAATACGCTTTACGATAAGATTCGAGAAGCATTAGAAGAACTCGTGGCAACTTCACATTACGGAGAGAAGTACGAACAGCTCCGAGATTTGCTCCGGCCGACGATCCCAAGAACGCATGAAGAGAGAGCCCGATCGAGACTACCCGCCAGATCAACAACCCGCAGCAGCAAGAAGATCAAAATCAAAGGAAGTCCGCTTTTGAAAGACTTGGGCCAGTGAAAGCCATAACGGAGAAAGTAGGAAGGAACATAGTCGGGCCACCAATTTGAACAACCGAGGAAGAACAGGAGTAGGGTGCCTACCTGCACAAATCTCGCAGACTTATTCCCATCAAAACAACACTTGGCCGTAAGAAGGAGCCGAATCCGAATTCAAAGAAACCGAACGCACGACAGATTCCCTGCTTTGCAAACAAAGGTTGGCATCGATCGATTACCTCACAAATTCAAACCGTTTAACCACTCCAAGTATGATGGCAAAACCGAACCAAGACAATGGCTCAGAATATATTCACAATCAATTGAACTAGCCGGAGGAGACGATGATATCAAAACCTTGTTCTTTCCCATGGCACTGGAAGCGATGCCCCTCCAATGGTTCGACAAATTGAACCCAGGGTCGATCAGAACTTGGGAAGACTTGCAAAGAGCTTTCTGTGAAAATTTCGTGGGTATCATCACACACGATCACTCATGCAGTAATCGAAAGGACTCAAGCAAAAGGGGGGGGCGAAAGTCTCAGAAATTACTATCGACGATTCGGCGAACTACGGGCTCAAGTGCATGACATCACCGAACGAGAGGTAATTGAAGCTTTCTCTCACGGAATCATGGCTAGGTGGCAATTTCAAGACTTCTGCAAAGAAAATCCGAGAAACAATGAAGAGTTCGACGAAACAAGAGAAAAATGATTACCGCAGAAGAAAAACGCGAGAAAGGTTCCTGATAGAAGCAACCAGACAACCCTTGGACAGCAAAATCATCGAAATAGCGACATCAAGAAAGAAAACGTAGACCGGACAATACCGTGGCAATGGCCGACAAATCAAAAAAGTTTTCCAAACCCAAAAGATATGATGACATTGAAAACATACGTTGCCCATTGCACCCTAACGGGAGACACACCATCGGAAACTGCTACACTTTCAATGATCGATACACAAGAAAAGATAGTAAGGAGAACACCAAAGAGGACAATCAAGAAAGATGAAGACAACCACGAGGACAAAGGATTTCAAAACCCGTGGGACGGTAGCAAAGGATCTTCTCGGGGCTCCAGATTGCGAAGCAAACATCAAGAAAAACTAGCACTACTTGGACTATCATGACGGCAGAACCGGCTACACCAAGATATCTCAATTGGTCACAATATCCAATCCAATTTTCAAGAGAAGACCAATGGACTAGCGTAGGGAACGCAGGCCATTACCCACTAGTTCTAGACCCAACTATTGCCGGTATGATGATCGCCACCAAAGTACTAATCGACGGGAGCTGGACTCAACATCATCTTTTAGAAACACTAAGGAAGATGGGACTACAACTCACCGGGATGATTACACCAACAAGCACTCCTTTTTACGGAATAGTACCCAAGCAAAGCAACCATGCCACTTTCGGACAAGTTACTTTTACCTGTTACTTTTGGAACTCCTTCGAACTACCGAATGAGTTTATCAAATTTGAGGTCGCAGACTTGATTCATCATATCATGCAATCCTCGGACGCCCAAAGACTGGCAAAATTCATGGCAATACCACATTATTCGTACTTATTGCTTAAGATGCCAGGACCCAATGGTATCCTTTCTCTTGAAGCGATTTGAAGCGTGCTTTTGATCGCGACGTTTCAGCAATCCAAATTGCGCCAAAGCACAAGCCGACAATGGAAGAAAAGAAATAGCCACAATTGCTGCGGAGATGAGCCAAGAAGAATTAGAAATACCGGCTAAAAAGCCCAAAGATCATCACACCACCAAAAGAAGCCGACGTCAAGTAAATCGACTTGGCACCGCGATACCTCCAAGACAAAGAACCATCGGTGCTCACCTCTCGGCAAAATAGAACTCGCGCCACCAACTTTCTTCGGACAACAAAGATATCTTCGCT